AGAACACCTGGTTAAAACATGCCCTAGAAGGGAGTCGGGGGTGGGCGAGGTGGCTCACGCCTATAATCCCAGCACTTTGGGAGGCCAAGGTAGGCGGATCACTTAAGATCAGGAGTTTGAGACCAGCCTGGCCAACATGGTGAAACTCCGTCTCTACTGAAAATACAAAAATTAACTGGGCATGGTGGCGGGCACCTGTAATCCCAGCTACTCGTTAAGCTGAGGCAGGAGAATCACTTAAACCTGGGAGGCAGAGATTGCAGTGAGCCGAGATCGTGCCACTGCACTCCAGCCTGGGCAACAGTGAGGTTCCATCTCAAGAAAAAAAGAAAGAGTTGGCAGCACAGCATCCTGCTTCACAGACTCGAGGCCTGAACGCTCTCAGCTGGTACATCCCCAGCGCCACTTCTTAAGCTCCATACCGAGAGTCCCATCTCAATCACACACCTGCAATGTATGGGGGAACTAGACTTGAGTGGGTTAGAGTAGGTTCATAAAACACAGGACCACCAGGGTAGCTGAAATTCTCAAGGTTTTTCAGAACTCTGTGCTCCTGAGCCTGGTGTCTCAACCCCAAAAGGGGTGAGTCAGAAGTTACCAATGAGGCTGGCAGGAAAGTGCCACAGCCTCTTTGAAGGCTGAGCAAGAGACTGACCCAGCCTCATCTTGTTGGCTCCCAACTAAACACCACCAGATGCGTGCATGAATGGCCTGGAGCATGGATGGGCATTGTTACAGTAAGGCCTTAGGTGTTACAGGCCTCTAATCAAGACATAGGGAGCCCTCATAACAACTTAAACAGAAGAAGTAGTAAAGGGTCTTGGTTTCATTTTTTACCTAAAACCCTGTCCCAGGAAATACTACCTTGTACAAGGGCAGAATAGGAATAGTTGGTTCAGCACACTGGACTACTGTTGGTGTGTGTTTGCCATTAGTGACCTCATTTGTCCTCACTGCATCTTGGGCACTGGGTAGAGGGATGCCAACATCGAATTTGCCTCCTGAAAACTAGCAGAGAGACTGCCAAAGCTACCTTGTCAATCCTGAACAGCAGAGCTGGGCTAGACCCCGCAGTCCCACCAGCTGGGGAGACGGCACCCTAATTTTGCCTTTCGTGGTAACAGTCTGGGGCCTCTATCTCAGAAACCAAAACTGAGTGAAGAAATTACACTCAGAAAAATTGGCACTAGGAAAAACAGAACACTCAAATAAGTGTCACACCCTCTGGAAAACTCGATGCTAGATTCATTTACACCAAATTGCTTAAATGGCCTCTTGTAAGAAGTATTGTTCATTTGCCTCTTCTGGAAACCACAGGATTTCTTAGGTCAGAAGTAGAGTTCACCCAGCCCAGTAATTGGGATCTTGGCTGCCTAGTGGCGGACATTGTGGCCACTTTCATAATCCTAACTCAACAAGGTATCTGTGGGATGAAGTAGGGAATAGGGGAAAGGGTGAGTTCAATGCTGGCTGCTTCTGGGAAGTTGTTTTATGAGGTCGATTTGGACATGGAGTCTGAGCATGGCTGCGACAAGTTGGTGCCTCCTAGACGGCCTTGGGGTTTGAGTTCTGGCTCAGCCCAAGCCTTGGAGGACAATGGGAAGAACTAGAATGAGAGCCAGTTGTGGGGGAGGAACAGCCACTTGGAACACCCTTCTCCAAGTCTGTTTCCTCATCTGTAAAATGGGGATAATGATAATTTGCACTAATAGGGCTGTTGATGGGGTTCATTGAAATGATCAGTCTTTGTTTATTTTTGTTTTTTTGAGACAGCGTTTCGCTCTTGTTGCCCAGTGCGATGGTGCAATCTCGGCTCACTGCAACCTCTGCCTCCTGGGTTCAAGCGATTTTCCTGCCTCAGCCTCCTGAGTAGTTGGGATTACAGGCACCCACCATCACACCCGGCTAATTTTGTATTTTTAGTAGAGACAGGGTTTCTCCATGTTGGTCAGGCTGATCTCAAATCCCCAACGTCAGGTGATCCGCCCGCCTCGGCCTCCCGAAGTGCTGGGATGACAGGCGTGAGCCACTGGCCCAATCAATCAGATTCTTAATACTGCTGATTCTTTTGAGTCATAGGTCTTTTACTCCTTCTGGATAGCCAGCAAGAGAATTTACCAGTCTCACTGGAAAAGTAGGATAAGGAAGGGGCAAGGAAGAGCTTGTTCCAAGTCCCAAGGCAAGTACAGAGTGGATCTGGGATTGGGTTCAGAGCACTGCGGGAAACCAGCTTTCTGTCCTGCCCACAGGAAAGAAGGGTTTTCTGCATGAGCCCGTTGTGCTGGGTGGACTAGAGGGATGTGGGGACTGTTTTGGGGCTGGGGAACAGGAAGGTTCATGGGTTTGTGGAGCCTTCCTCAGTGTAGGAATGCCAGCTTTAGGAGGGAAAGTTAACACCCAGTTAAATTTTAATTCCATGTAAACATTTTTTAGAGTAAGTGTATCCCATACAGTATTTGGTATATGCACTTTTTTAAATTTTCCCTTTTTAAATTTATTTAAATATTTTTGGCTGAGTGCGGTGGCCCACCATGTAATTCCAGCACTTTGGAGGCTGAGCGGGGAGGATCACTTGAATCCAGGAGTTTGAGCCTGGGCAACATAAGGAGTCCTCATCTCTACAAAAAATATTTTGAAAACTTAGCCAGGCATGATAGTGTGTGCCTATTGTCCTTGCTACTCAGGAGGCTGAGGTGGGAGGATCGCTTGAGTCCAGGAGGTTGAGGCTGCAGGAAGCTGTGATCACAACACTACACTTCAGCCTGGCCAGCAGAGCCAGACCCTGTCTCTAAAAAACAAAATGCAACCTCAAAACTCCCAGGCTTAAGTGATGCCCCCTCCTCAGCCTCTGGAGTAGCTGGGACCACAGGCATGAGCCACCATGCCCAGCTAATTTTTTATCTTTTGTAGAGATGGGATCTTGATATGTTGCCCTAGCTGGTCTCAAACTCCTGGCCTCAAGCAATCCTCCCACCTCAGCCTCCCAAAGCGCTGGGATTACAGGCATGAGCCACCACCCCCAGCCTAAAAAACTTTATTGTTTATCTGGAACTCAAATTTAACCAGACATCCTGTATTTTATCTGGTAACCTTACTTAGTAGCAATAGTGTGCTATTTACTAGGCACTTCCTGTGAGTAGGATTTGTTCTATGTATGTTATGGCCAAATTCTTAATCCCCACAATAACCCTATGAGGTTGTCCTCATACATACAAGGAAACAGGCCCAGGCCTAAAGAAGCTAAGTAACTTGCCCAATCATCCAGCTGGAAAATGTCAGGGCTGGGCTTCGGGGACTCAGAAGGAGTAAACCCAGAACTGTAAACTGAGCAGGAGGGGAGCCAGGATGGGCATCTTTAGTCTGAGGCTTGGAGCAGGCCATCCCTCTAGAGTGCAGCTTCATAAAATAGCACTAAGCGCAAATGATGAGCAAGGGGAGAGAGGTTGCTCTGGCCCTTGCTGCCCTTGGGCTGCAGCTACCATCCCTGAGGCCAGTGGGGAGGCAGTTAGCCTCAGTTTTTCCTTCCCATCCCTGCTGTGCTGGTGTTGGGAGGCCTCTGAGCTAGGAGTGTCTAAGTGCTTGGACTCACCAGCCCAGGGCCAAGGAGCCCCGTGAGAAGCAGTGTCCAATCTTGGAAGGTGGAAAGAAGGATGGCAGGGGGTAGGACAACTGTTCGGCTAGAATGGCCTGGGGAAAAGGATGGGGGAGCTGACCAGGGAGGGGAAGAGGCACATCTCACCCACCCATACGCTGGCCATGACCTTCCTCCTACCCAGGGAAGCTCAGCCACGTGCACCACTAAAGGTGGCCACAGCACTGCTTAGTCAATACCTACTCTGCAGGCCACTGTGCAGGCCTTCTGTGAGCTCATTCCAAAACATGTTCTCCAGGAGGACCAGGTTCAGGTGGGTTGTCACCTGCCTTCAGTGGCACAACTCATGAGGAAGAACAAGAATTTAGAGATGGGTCTGATTCCAAAATCTAGTGTTCTTTCACAGGCATTGGCTTTGCATGTGGAGCCACAGGCCCAACACATTTTCTTCTCGGGGTGGAGTCAGAGCTACGGCCCACAAGCCAAGAACCAGGACTCACATTTATAAATAATTGGACAATCAAAGGGAAATATTTCATGACCATAAAAATGATCCCCTCATGCCTGTAATCCCAGCACTTTGGGAGGCCGAGACGGGCGGACCACGAGGTCAGGAGATCGAGACCATCCTGGCTAACACTGTGAAACCCTGTCTCTACTAAAAATACAAAAGATTAGCCAGGCATGGTGGCAGGAGGCTAATCGGGAGGCTGAGGCAGGAGAATGGCGTGAACCCAGGAGGCGGAGCTTGCAGCGAGCCGAGATCGCGCCACTGCTCTCCAGCCTGGGCAAAAGAGCGAGACTCCGTCTCAAAAAAAAAAATCCCAAATCCAAATTCCAGTGGCCGTAAATAAAGTTTTATTGAACACAGCTATACTCAAAGCTGCTTTTGGGCTATGACAGCAGTAGTCACAGAGACCACACAGCCTGCAAAGTCTAAAATATTTATTATACTGTCTGATCCTTTGCAGAAAACGTTTGTCGATCCCCATCCTGCAACATCAATTTTATTCATAGATTCAATGCAAAAACTCATTAAAAGTATTTCATATGGCCAGGCGCAGTGGCTCACGCCTGTAATCCCAGCCCTTTGGGAGGCCAAGGCGGGTGGATCACCTGAGGTCAGTAGTTTGAGACCAGCCTGGCCAACATGGCAAAAGCCCACCTCTGCTAAAAATACAAAAATTAGCCAGGTGTGTTGGTAGGTGCCTATAATCCCAGCTACTTGGGAGGCTGAAGCAGGAGAATTACTTGAACCCAGGAGGCAGAGGTTGTAGTGACCCGAGATAGCACCATTGCACTCCAGCCTGGGCAACAGAGCGAGACTCCATCCCAAAAAATACATATATATGTATGTATATTTCATATTAACGCAAACATGGTTTTGTATAAAAGTGAATCACATAGTGGAATATAAGATTCATGTCTACTTTTGAGATAAAATGCTTCCAAGAAGCCCTCGGCTTTGGGCATGCTTCTTGAGGGCCAGCCTCCAAACCCGAGGGGATACTTTCACTTTGGAGGAAACACTGGAGCTGCCCTGTCCCCCTCCCCTCTTCACACGGAGCCTTTTTTGGTTGTTTTTGTTTTTTTGAGACAAGGTCTCCCTCTGTCACCCAGGCTGGAGTGCAGTGGTGTGATCACAGCTCACTGCAGCCTCGAACTCCTGGGCTCAAGCGATCCTTCTGCCTCGAGAGTGACTGTCCTGTTCCCCACTGAGATGTCCAGCTGGCTCTCAGAAGCAGGACACTAGGACAGGCTCAAGAGTCCAGGTCGACGCGGTGCTGTGGCCAGACTGAAGCAGCTTTGCCACGTCCCCCTGGTCTCATCCACCATCAGGCCCCTGCTGGCCGTGTGTGCCTGTTCCCCCTCAGGATGACAACTTGGCCTCACCTTTCTCTGTATGCAGCACCTTGAGGCTCTTTGAAAATCCTCAGGGACTCCCAAAGCCTGTGTGGGTCAGGAGAGCCGGGCCAAGGAAGGTCCATGCTGCACAGGGCAGGCAAGGACTCAGCACTGCTGGGTGTTTAGACTGTTTCCTGGCTCAGACCAAGAAAACTCTAAACTCTGTAGACACAGCTCCCAACTCCCACCCACTCCCCACTCCAGCTCTGACCCAGGCTTTTCCATTCACAGATCCCAGACTTTCCAGACCGGCAAAGAGCCCGGAGGCCAAAGCCTGGTGAGTGCCTTGGGCAGGGGCTGGGGGTGGGGCGGCGGATAGTACAAGGCTGAGGAAAGCCCCCAACCCCCCTTGGGCCTCCCCAGGTAGAGGACACTCCTACCCTCACCCCAGTCCCTTGTCAAATTTCCCTGTCAAGAAGCAGTACATACGTATATAAGGATACTCCTAGTGTTGGTGTGCATCTGAGAGAGAGGGAAGGAGGGAGGGAGGGAGAGCTGGAGGGCGGTGGGGCAGGGGAGCAGGTGTTCCTCCTGGCTAAGCCCCTGCAGCTACTTCCTTTCTTTCCCCAGACAAGTTGAGGATAATTAGCATCCCATGGGGGAACAGAGAGGCAGCTCCCATCCCTAGACTGAGTGTGGGAGGAAGATTCAGAGCCCCCACCAACTCCACTCCCACTGCACAACCCAGCACCCCCCAAAACAGGCCCAAGGACAAGGGGTCGGGTTCTACCACCCCCACCCCATGAGTCCAACCACTCCCAGCTTCTGTAAGGAACAAGAGTTCAAAGACATAAAACCTCTGTCCAAAGAGGTACTTGCTCTGCACAGTCAAGTGGGGTGGCACAACGTTCTTGAAAACCTGACTTTTCTTTGGAGTTCCTGGTTGTTTCTTGTGTTCTCTGACTCCCTTTCAAGCTGGACTGGTCCATGAGTGTTTCTCAGGGACGAGATATGACAATGGGAAGCAGACAAAAAAAGATTCTCTGCCTGGCTTTTGAGTTTCGGTGCCTGGCTTGGGCACATGACAGATAAGAGCAAAGCTTCCCAGCTGCCATCCCTCCCGCCAGGAAAAGGGTTCCTGAAGGGAAGAAGAGAGGGGTGGTTGGTGGGGGTCAGTGGGGATGGACTGAAGGAACCATCCTCTTTGAGGGTGTCTCGTCTGTTTCCAGCACCCAGGAGGCCCCTGGAGCCATGTTTGGAACCAGGCTTCCGGGCTCCTCTTCCTCAGGTGCCCCACCAGCCTGCCCCTCCCACATGACTGTGGCATCTCCAGCAGTAGCCCCTGTGTCTCCTGTGACGAACCAGTGAGGGGGCTGCCACCTGTGCCCTGAGCATCCACGTGGGATAGGTTCTTACCCATTGGACTGCCCTCCCATCTTCACCCTAAGGCACGCTTAAGACCCAATAGAGGCTAGGTACAGTGGCTCACACCTGTAATCCCAACACTTTGGGAGGCCGAGGTGGGTAGATCTCTTGAGGTTAGGAGTTCGAGACCAGCCTGGCCAACATGGTGAAGCCCTGTCTCTACTAAAAATACAAAAATTAGCCAGGCATAGTGGCGTGCGCCTGTAATCCCAGCTACTCAGGAGGCTGATGCAGGAGAATCGCTTGAACCCGGGAGGTGGAGGTTCCAGTGAGTCGGGATCACACCACTGCATTCTAGCCTGGGCAATAGAGCGAGACTGGGTCTCAAAGGAAAAAAAAAAAAAAAAAGACCGGGTTGAGCCCCAACAGGGGAGACAGCAGTACAGAAAGCCCCTCCCTTGTGCCTCAGTGGGACTAGGAGAAACAGCTTGAGGTCCCCAGAACCCCAAGTAAGGCAGGTGCTGGGTAAACCAACCCTGTGCTCAAACACTGACTTTGTGATATGGACTCAGGAGACCTTGAGCAAAAGGGCCAGCCAGGCTCAGAGCCTGCTACTCTGAAGTCTGGCAGTGGCACCCACCTCCCTGCAGAAGAGGCAGACCCAGGGTTATCCATGGCAGGGTCACCAGGGCCTGGGGCTGCAGGATGCCAGGAAGGGGCTCAGCTTCTGCCTGGCCTGGGGCATCCCTCTGGGCCTCTCTCTCCTGTGTGCCCATGGGGAGTTGAGCTGCCTGAGCCCTGGGACCCCTCCCAGCTCTGCCACCCTGGACATGAGACCCTGAGATGCTGTGTCCCCATCTTTGGGGGTGAAGGATCCGTTAACCAAGTTCGGCTTCAGGCTGCAGGGCCCTCTCTGGCTGAAGCTCAGCTAACTGATGCTCCCATTTAATCTTGGGGCTTGGAGCAGGGTTCCTGAGCCCCCCAGGCAGAGTTCCCACCTTCCTGTTAAGCTATTCCCCATGAGCCTTTTTATAAAGAGTTTGGCTGGGAGCCAGAGAGCTTTTGGAAAGTGTATGGGCCAAGCCAAGCTGTACAAACCTGTCTCCCTCCCAGAGCCGAAAGAGGCCAGGTTGTTCCCAAACAAATGCAGAGGCGGGGCCGGGGGTTGGGAAGAAGAAAGGGGGCTATTTTAGGAGGACCTGCATACTGCAGAGCCCCCACACAGCAGCAAGGGGTGTGGGGAGGCACGGCCAGAGGCAGCAGAGGTAGGGACCTGGTACCAGGTGTCTCATGTAGACACACACATGAAACATACGCATACACCCCCAAACGCATGTGGGCACAGACACAAGTCACAAAGATACACAGACTTGTGACTGTGTAGAAGCATGTGCTGATGTGTACAGAAATATGCACAACTACATACTAGGTAGTCACACCTGCAGCTGCAGGGACATGCACAAACATGCTCACACGTACAATCACACACCACCACGTACACACACATGCATAGACACTTAGAGATGTACACAAAGGATGCAGATTGAGCAATGCCAGGCTAAACGCAGGAGGCTGGGAGAGAGCTTGCACTCCCTGACAACCCAACTCCCTGAAACCCAGCACACATGTGCATGCACACACACACACACACACACACACACACCCTGGGAGGGAACCGCTTCCTCCATAGGAACTTTTGGATCCAGGGCAATATGCAATCAAGACCTTGTGCTAGGAAAGAAAGCGCCTTTGTCTGCTGGCACCAGGGCTGCAGGAGCAGCTGCAACCTCCTCCAGGATAAAAGCCAGGCCAGTTCCTTGCCCTGGGGAAGAAGGTCAGGCCAGGCCCTAGATGGGGGATGGAAAGAGGGAGCTGGGGGCTCCAGCAGGCCCTGCCACCAATCCCAGGACACTGTGTCTGGCTGGTGGCAAAAAGCCCGGAAAGCTTGTTGTTCTCAGGCCTGGCCACCCTGACCTCTAACCCTAGTTTGGCCCTGTCTCCAGAACGACTGTGGTTCTGACCCTAGCCCTGGTGCTACACTGACCCAGACTGAGACCTGGCTCACCCGGGGCTCCATGCCTGCCATGTGCCTGTGACCTCACTTTTTTTTAGCAGAGTGAAAAAAAAGTCAGGCTCTGGAATTAGAAAGATGTGAAATTGAATCCTGATTTGTCACTCTCTGAGTGATTTTTAGAATGTGCTTGACCTTTTTGAGCCCTAAATTCAAACTCCCGTTATACAGAGGCAGATCTTTTTATTTATTCATTTATTTATTTAGAGACAGGGTTTCATTTCTCATTCCATCACCCAGGCTGGAGTGCTTGCTGTAACCTTGAACTCCCGGGCTCAGGTGATCCTCTCTGAGCCTCCCAAGTAACTAGAACTGCGGGTGTGCACCACTCGCCTGGCTCATTTTTCAAAACATGTATCATAGAGATGGGGTCTTGCTGTGTTGCCCAGGCTGGTCTTAAACTCCTGGCCTCAAGCCATCCTCCCAGCTTGGCCTCCCAAAGCACTGGGATTATAGGCATGACCCACCACACCAAGCCTAAATCCTCTTTATTGAGCCCACTGCATACAGCTGCCTTCTCCCTGTGTATACCTTCTCTTCTGGGCCTGGTGAAGCTGGGTTGGTCCTCTCAGCCCCCAGCACCCCTGCCCAGCACCCTCTCCTGCTGCGCTGGCCCCAGGGAGGAAAGCAAGACCCAGGCCTGATCTCTAGGGACTGCCATCTTGGGAGCGCCCTTCCTCCCTTGTGCCCTTTTCTCACCCCCTGTGGTCCCGGCCATGTCCCTGAAGCTGCCCCGTGCCCCTCTGCACTCCTCATCACACTCTGAAGACCAAAACCTCAGTGAGAACAGCCCTGTTTTTCTAACTCAGGAAAAGGATTTAGCTTTGGAGGCCCTTCAGAGGTAACGTAAGCCCCCTCCAGACACTTCCAGAACTAATTTCAGTCCTTCCATTCAACAGATATTTACCAAGGGCCTACTATGCTCTTCTAGATGCTGGAGATTCCACGGTGGGCAAATAGGCAAAACTTCCCGCCTGGGGCTTACATTCAGGCTCCCTATGCCCCATGCTGCGGGAGCCTCTAGCCTCACACATTCTCCACATCGGCCCGAGGGCTGCAGCCACGGTGCAAGCGCAGACACACCCCCTCCTTCATGTTGCCACAAAACTTTGGAATGTCACTATCATCACTGTCACAGCTCTTTCTCCCACTGAGGCGCTCCTGGCTGATGCTGGGAATCTCAAGGGCAGGAATGCGCCTGGTGGGAATGCACTTGAACTATTGAAAGCCATTGCGGCGCGCTCTCTCTCTCTCTCTCTCTCTCGCTCTCGCGCGCTCTCTCTCTCTCTTTCTCTCTGCCCTGCCACCTCCTGCCCTCATGTAAGATGTGCCTTGCTTCTCTTTGCCTTCCACCGTGATTGTAAGGCCTGCCCAGTCATGCAGGACTATGAGTCAGTTAAACCTCTTTCGTTTATAAAGTTTTAAAAAATTGGGCCAAGGTGCAGTGGTTCACGCCTGTAATCCCAGCACTTTGGGAGGCCAAGATAGGTGGATCACGAGGTCAGGAGATGGAGACCATCCTGGATAACATGGTGAAACCCCATCTCCACTAAAAATACAAAAAATGAGCCAGGCATGGTGGCGGGCGCCTGTAGTCCCAGCTACTTGGGAGGCTGAGGCAGGAGAATGGTGTGAACCCAGGAGGCGGAGCTTGCAGTGAGCCGAGATCGCACCACTGCACTCCATCAAACCTGAGCGACAGAGCGAGACTCCGTCTCAAAAAAAAATTAAAAATATAAATAAATAAATAAATAAACAATGAAAGCCACTGTGGAGTCTGACAGCAGCTTTCAATAGTTCAAGTGTGGCCGGGCGCAGCGGCTCAAGCCTGTAATCCCAGCACTCTGGGAGGCCGAGATGGGCAGATCACGAGGTCAGGAGATCGAGACCATCCTGGCTAATACAGTGAAACCCCGTCTCTACTAAAAAATCCACAAAAAAAAAAATCACTAGCCGGGCGAGGTGGCGGGTGCCTGTAATCCCAGCTACTCAGGAGGCTGAGGCAGGAGAATAGTGTGAACCCGGGAGGCGGAGCTTGCAGTGAGCTGAGATCCGGCCACTGCACTCCAGCCTGGGCAACAGAGTGAGACTCTGTCTCAAAAAAAATAATAAAATAAAATAGTTCAAGTGATTTCACGTACCAATGTCCCTTAGCGTGCCTTCTGATCTTACTATAACTTGGTATCTTTCAACTATGATGCAATTATGATAGTTATTACATCATAATTGAATTATACATAATTATTTCTCTTAATTGCATCATCGTTAAATAACCTGCCCTTATTTTAAATAAAAGCATACTGTTTTAGGAAATAAATCAGCCATGCACAGCAACTCATGCCTATAATCCCATTACTTTGGGAGGCTGAGGCAGGAGGATCTCTTGAGGCCAGGAGCTTGAGACCAGCCTTAACAACATAGCAAGGCCCCATCTCTACAAAAAATAAAAAATTAGCCAGGCACAGTGGCACACACCTGTAGTCTCAGCTACTTAGGAGGCTGAGGTGGGAAGATTGCTTGAGCCCAGGAGTTCAAGGCTGTAGTGAGCCGTGATCATGCCACTGCACTCAAGCCTGAGTGACTGAGCGAGACCCTGTCTCAAAAAATATAAAAGAGATGGACTGAACCTGAAGCTCAATTAGTGTCAGTTCAATTGCCCTGGTCTGTCACTCACAGTTCGATGCGTTTGTTCATGAAATTTTAATTGAACACTTGCTCTTTGCCAGATATGGAGAGGGGGAAAGGGGTCCCCGGAGCCCCCTGTCTAGAGTGAGCCAGTGAGCAGAAAATGACAATGCAGTGTAGTAAGTGCCGAACAGACTGATGGGCAGTTGCCATAGGAGCCCAAGGGGAGTTCCTTGGGGGCAGATGGATTAAAGACAGTTTTGCAGAACAGGGGATATTTGAGCTGAGCCTTGAAGGAGCAGTTGGATTTTTTTCAGGTAGAGATGAAAGAGAGTGAGCCAAGCAGAAGGACCAGCATTTGCAAAAGTCATGGAAACAGGGAAGTGCCTGATGTGTGAGGAAGATGGCAAAATGTTAAATGTCCCAGGCGGGGAGGCCAGGCTGGCTGAGGAAGTGACTGGCACCAGATAAGACTGTGAATGCCAGGGAGAGTGGGGAACCCCTGCCACGTGGAGGTCACCCAACCCTGGCCCTGGAGCTGTCCCCCTGAGCTGTCCACCCCCAACCTGAAAACTCTGTGCAGCCCTTCCCCTCCTACCTTCCTCCTGCCCTTAGAAACCCTGATTTCACTGTGGTCAAATTCCCCTCCATTCTTGGCTTAGGGAAAACAATTATGAGGCAGGAATTCTTGTAAGAGCTTTTTCTATATTAAAATGCTTGATCCTCTGTTAAATATTGTCTGTCATTTTTTTTCACAGTTTGACCTTATTTTATTACGTTTTGATGGAAAGAAGCCTCCCATTATCATGTCGTGAAATCTGTCAGTCTGTTCATATGATGTCTTCTTAGGAAGTTGTCCCCTATCCTAAAGTTGTGTAAGTTTTCGGATTCTTTTATGGTTTACCTTCTAGCATTCAAATCTTTAAGCCATCTGCAGTTTATTTGGGTTTAAGGTAGAAATCTAACTTTTTTCCAAATTGTTAGCCAGTTGTCCAGTCCCACTTCTTAAGTAATCCATCATTTCTGCCCTGTTTTTTTTTTTTTTTCTCCAAATTTTCAATTCCCCCCCTCCTCGATTTTTAAAGTTATACCTGCTATCCAGGAAAAAGAAGAGGAGTGAGCAGGAGGGGGATGAGAAGTGGGGAAATGAATGGCTTAGGAAGTAAAAGCCCTCCTCCCCTTTCACCTCCCTGAGGTAGAGGCAATAACTGTTCATCGTTTGTTATATATCCTATTATTATTAGTGTTACAACACTTACTAGGTTTCTCTTAAGTGCAGAGATGTTCAAAAGAGAAAACCCAAAAGGGATCAAAACCTCTGGAACATATTTTGGCATAAAAGCATGTTGGCTTCTCAGGTGAAGAAGGTTGCAGTGAGCAGAGATCGTGCCACTGCACTCTAGACTGGGCAACAGAGCGAGACCCTGTCTCAAAACAAACAAACAAAAATATATATATATGTATGTATGTACATATGTATATGTGTGTATGTGTGTGTATATATGTTGGTTTTTTAAAAAAAAAAAAAAGAATACATACGGCAGGGCACAGTGGCTCACACCTGTAATCCCAGCACTTTGGGAGGCCGAGGCGGGCAGATCACAAGGTCAGGAGATCGAGACCATCCTGGCTACCATGGTGAAACCCTGTTTCAACTAAAAATACAAAAAATTAGCTAGGCATGGTGGCGCGTGCCTGTAGTCCCAGCTACTCAGGAGGCTGAGGCAGGAGAATCGCTTGAACCCAGGAGGCAGAGGTTGCAGTGAGCCAAGATTGCACCACTGTACTCCTGGGCAACAAAGCAAGACTCCGTCTCAAAAACAAACAAAAAACAAACAAACAAACAAAAAAAAACCATATATAAGGTTGGAAAAATAAAACAACTCTAAAAGATACAAAATGAAAAATAAACACTTCCCTCTCACTCACTACTGTCCCACGCCAAGTCCCGCTCCCCAAAAGTAACCACTGGTGAAATTTCCTATTTGCTTTAGTGTGACATGCATTTCCTTTTTTTTTTTTTTTTTTTTTGAGACGGAGTCTGGCTCTGTCACCCAGGCTGGAGTGCAGTGGCGCGATCTCCACTCACTGCAAGCTCCGCCTCCCGTTCCCATCCCTCCTCACCCCCGAGTGCTGACCAGGCCCCCACTCCCAGCTAGTTTTTGTTTTTTAGAGCGGGTCACCGTGTAGCAGATGGTCGATCCCTGACCTCGTGATCCCCTCCGGCCTCCCAATGCTTACCTGCCCCCCGGCCTTTTTTTTTTTTTTGCAGCTCCCACCCAGGTGTCCTCCCACCACGCCCCCCCCGGTTCACACCGTTCTCCTGCCTCAGCCTCCTGTGTAGCTGGGACTACAGGTGCCCGCCACCACGACTGGCTAATTTTTTGTATTTTTAGTAGAGACGGGGTTTCACCGTGTTAGCCAGGATGGTCTTGATCTCCTGACCTCGTGATCCGCCCGTCTTGGCCTCCCAAAGTGCTGGGATTACAGGCATGAGCCATCATGCCCAGCCTAGTGTGACATGCATTTCTTTGCCACATTCCACATTCTCATCTGGAGATGGGTTTACTGCTCATGTTTCCATTTTCTGTGCCATTTCCCTCTCTGCTGCGCCGGCACAAGTACCATAATGTTGAAGGTATTCTAGTGTTACCTGCTTTTAACATCTGGGAGGGTAAGTCACGCCTTAATGTTTTTCATCTGTGGAGATATGGTGAGTATTCTATACTTATGTTCTACTTTATATTGCACCCTCTCCCTACCCCCGCCAATTTGATTGGAAATTTGTTGGAAGGGCATTGTTTGTATAGATTCATTTGGAGAAGATGATGAGTTTATCTCTTTGTGGACATCTCGCCCCTGTGACTGCATTCAGATATTGTGACTTTTCTTTTTTTCTTTTTGAGACAAGATCTTGCTCTTTCATCCAGGTTGGAGTGCAGTGGCACAATCATGGCTTACTGCAGCCTCGACCTCCCGAGCTCAAGTGATCCTCCCACCTCAGCCTCCCAATTAGCTGGGACCACAGATGCCACCACCCCTGGTTAATTTTTTTATTTTTAGTAGAGACAGGGTCTCTCTGTGTTGCTCAGGCTGATCTCAAACTCCAGGGCTCAAGTGATCCTCCTCGGCCTCCCAGTGTGGTGATTACAGACGTGAGCCTGGCCCTTTTCTCTTTGAATTGGAGTGAAGGCATACCGATTTTATTAACATGTACACAGGGAGAACCACAGAGTCATTCCCCCAGACATTGTGACTTTTCTTGTTTGGGATTTTGAACACCTCTCCTTAGAGCATCTTAATCTTTGTCCATCTGATGTCATAACTGCAACCGCCTACTAGGAAAAGGGTCGGGAGACTTGGTCGCTGTCTTCCCATACTCGAGGGTATCAGGTGAAAGAGGGTGTGGCCTGCTCAGCAGAGCTCCAGAGAGCAGAACTCAGACCAGTTGGGGGTCACACAGAGGCCATCTTTGGCTCAGTGAACGGAAGAATGTTCTATCCGTTGGAGCTGCAGGGCCATGGAACGAGCCGCTGGGGGAGGTGGTGAGCTGCCCACCTTGGCTCTTTTCCAGTGTTCCAGGGAAAAGGCAGCCCGTGCTGCCCAGGGGCATCCGTGTTGCTGAGAGGAGTAGGGGAGGATGCTTGGTTACTTGGGCCCCTGTTCTCTCCACTCTGCCCAAAGGGAAAGCCAGGGCTTTCTGAGCCCCCCGCTGTGCTACTTACTTCATTTCATTTTGCACAATGACCTCTGTGGGTAGAATGGCGTTATTCTATTTTCCATTCAAAGACAGGGAGGCCAAGGGACTTCTCCAGGCTCATCCAGCTAGGCCTGCTTGAACCGGATTCCAAAGCAGACCCTCCCCAAGCAGCCTGTCTATGATTGTCCCCTGGGAGCCCCTGCTCAGAGTCAGGGCTGAAAAAAAGGGAGCGGGAACACCCTCCCTGCCTTTCAGTCCAGGGACAGCTGCAGGGCAGGTGAGCGCCCAGTGGGCAGCAAGAAGGCACCTGGCTCCTCTCCCATCCCTGATTCTGCACGTCCATGTCTCTCCCCCGGGGCAGCTCTCAGCTTGGCTCACAGTGTCCTCAGGGGGCCAATGGGCTTCTTGATTCCAGGCTGCACATCTGGAAGTTGACGCTATTAAAACAAACCCCATTATATAACAAACGGACATCTGGAATCCGTTAGCAATGAGTTTTTAGAAAAAGAAATTGTTTTGGATGTGCTCTCTCCTAAGAATGTGGCAAAGCGCCCTCGCCCTGGCTGTCCAGGAACCCAGGGACCCAGGGGCCTCTCCTGGGCCCACTTTTCAAGGTATCTCAGGCCAGACCAGAGGTGGGCTGGGGCACAGACAGAGACAGACTCCTCCCTGCCCCCACAGGCAACTTCACTGTCTCCTGCTGGCTCCATCTTCGGAAGGGCTCCTTTCCAATTCATTCAGCAAACACTTGTGTGCCTACTGTGTGCCGCCAACTGCATATCATTCATATGGCCATGTCCAACTTCTCCACTGCACCTAAGCACTCCAACATAGCTTAAGAAAAAACATCATGGACTTCCCTGGATTCTAAACAGCAACGCTAAACAGCCTGAGCCTCCATTTCCTCAAACACAGAGCCCAAACGCCTTAGCTAGTCCCTGGAACTCCCTAGCACCCTCAGGCCTCTTTCTGAATTGTCTCCCTACTCTTTCTTCCTGGGCACATTGGTGGGGGACACAAGGACAAATGACTTGGGCATAGGCTTGTGGCAACCTTGATCTAACAATGAAGAAAAGATTTTATGAGAAATGTCTAGCTAATATTTTCAAATGCAAATTTTATCCCCCCCTCCAACATTTTATGACGAAAAATTTCAAACCTACAGAAAAGTTGAAAGAATTATACAATGAGGCCAGGCACAGTGGCTCATGCCTGTAATCCCAGCACTTTGGGAGGCTGAGGCAGGCTGATCGCTTGAGTCCAGGAGTTTGAGACCAGCCTCTGTAACATGGTGAGACCCAGTTCCTATAAAACAATACAAAAATTAGCTGGGTGTGGTGTCACACGCCTATAGTCCCAGCTACTCTTGAGGCTGAAGTGGGAGGATCGCTTGAGCCCACAAGACGGACGTTGCAGTAAGCTGAGATCACAACACTACCCTCCAGTCTGGGCAACACAGCAAGACCCTGTCTCAAAAAAAAAAAAAAAGAGAAAGAAAAGAAAAGCGCTGGGCTCAGTGGCTCACGCCTGTAATCCCAACACTTCGGGAGGCCGAGGCAGGTGGATCACTTGAGGCCAGGAGTTTGAGACCAGCCTGGCCAGCATGGCAAAACCACGTCTCTACTAAAAAAATACAAAAATTAGCTGGGTGTGGTGGTGGGCACCTGTAATCCCAGCTACTCAGGAGCCTGAGGCAGGAGAATCACTTGAACCTGGGAGGCAGAAGCTGCAGTGAACCTAGATCACACCACTGCACTCTAGCCTGGGCGACAAAGCAAGACTCCATCTCAATAATAATAATAATAATAATAATAATAATAATAATAATAATAATTGTACAGTGAATCCACCATCTAAAGTCTGCAATTGTTGGTATGTTGCTATATTTGAGTTTTCAAATATCTATTCATCTATAGACCCAGCCATCAGTTCAAAAGCTATTTGCAGACAGCAGTACACTTTATCCCTTAACAATATGCATGCATATTATTAACTAGAGTTCAATATTTGTTTCTGGTTTTCTTTGAGGCAAAATTAACAGACAATTAAATGCACAAATTGTACTATTCCATGTACAATATGGACTACATGTTCTATTCCAGTGAGTTTGACAAATGTAGATATGTAGATACTTCTTTTTTTTTTTTTTTTTTGAGACAGAGTCTTGGTCTGTCATTAGGCTGGAGTGCAGTGGCGCAATCTCAGCTCACTGCAACCTCTGCCTCCTGGGTTCGAGTAATTCTCCTGCCTCAGCCTCCCGAGTAGCTGCAACTACTGGCGTGTGCCACCATGCCCAGCTAATTTTTGTATTCTTAGTAGAGACGGGGTTTCACCATGTTGGCCAGGATGGTCTCAATCTCTGGACCTCATGATCCACCCACCTCGGCCTCCCAAAGTGCTGGGATTACAGGCGTGAGCCATCATGCCTGGCCAACAAATGTAGGTATTTGTATAACCCAAACCCTATCACCAAATCCAGTTTTCCATCAACCCCAGAAAGTCCCCCAAACCCCTTCCTAGTATATCCCTAACCCACACTCCTCCCAGAGGCAACCACTATTCTGGTTATTTTCACCATAGTCTAGGTGTTGTGGGCTAATTGTGTTCTCCCAAAATCCACATGTTAAAAGTCCTAATCCCTAGTACTGCAAAATGTGACTGTATTTGGAGGTTGGGTCTTTAAAGAGATGATTACATTAAGATGAGGTCCTCAGGGTGGAACGTAATCCAATATGCCTGGTGTCCTTATAAGAAGAGGAAATTAGGACACAGATACACACAGAGGGACAACCACATGAAAACACTGGGAGAAAACCGCCATTTACAAGCCAAGGAGAGGGGCCTAAGAAGAAACCACCCCTGCCAATACCTTGATCGAGGCTTCTGGCCTCCAGAACTGTGAGGAAACAAATTTCTGCTGTTTAAGCCACCCCGTTCCTGGTACTTTGTCATTGGTAGCCCTAGCACAATAATACACTAAGTTTGTCTTTTCTAGAATTTCATATAAAGTCATTTGCTCTGTGCTCTTTTGTGTCAGGCTTTTTATTTGGCCCAGTGTAAGACTGTTGGGATTCCTCCATGTTGCTACATGAATCAGTACCTTGTTCCTTTTCATTGCTTAGTAGTATTCCATTATATTAATACTCCACAGTTTGTTTAGCCAGACAAATTTTTCATTTTTTAAGAACACAGGAATGCTTTGGCAGCATTTCACTTCAGTGTATGCCCTTTATGCCACCCCAGCAGCAAACCAGACATTCCATGGCCCACTCTATTCAGCAGGAGCTTCAGAACCATATGTGGATGTCCTGATAAAAGACATCATAACTCCAGGAATGAAAAGTTCTTACAGATGAGATTAAATTAATATTACATCATTTTTATCTCAGCAAATATAGATGATCCATTATGTCACAGGAGCCTCAGATCTTCACCCGTTTGGCTGCAAACCGAACGCAGTGATTACACTGGCTTGGGAATCAGGCTAGGTTTGACTTTCACTTGCTGTGTAACCTTGGGCGGGTCACTTAACATCTCTGACCCCCACTTTCCTCCTACAGCAAATGGGACTAGTGATTTCTTCCTGCAGGGTTGCTTGAAGACTGAATGAACGAATGAGTTCAGGGTGTGTATTAGTCCCTTTTCACGCTGCTGATAAAGGCATACCTGAGACTAGGTAATTAACAAGAAAAAGAGGTTTAATGGACTCACAGTTCCATGTGGCTGGGGAGGCCTCATAATCATGACAGAAGGCAAAAGGCATGTCTTATATGGTGGCAAGCAAGAGAGAGAATGAGAACCAAGAGAAAGGGGTTTTCCTCTTATAAAACCATCAGATCTCGGCTGGATGTGGTGGCTCATGCCTGTAATCTCAGCACTTTGGGAGGCCGAGGCAGGCAGATCATGAGGTCAGGAGTTCAAGACCAGCCTGGCCAATATGGTGACACCCCGTCTCTCCTAAAAACACAAAAATTAGCCAGGTGTGGTGGTGCATACCTGTGGTCCCAGCTACTCAGGAAGCTGAGGCAGGAGAATCACTTGAACCTGGGAGGCAGAGGTTGTAGAGAGCCGAGATGGCACCAATGCACTCCAGCCTGGGCCATAGAGTGGACTCCATCTCAAAAAAAACAAAAAACAAAAACAAACAAACAAAAAACCATCAGATCTCATGAGACTTATTCACTACCACAAGAACAGTATGAGGGAACCCGCTCCCACGTTTCAATTGTCTCCTACCCAGTCCCTCCCAACCCTGTCCCTCCCGGAGCTACGATTCAGGATGAGATTTGGGTGGAGACACAGCCAAACCATATCAGGGTGGCAAAGGAAAGACTCAGGAAACATTCGATATGGTTTGTCTCACTCTGCAGCTGTTGGGGCCAGAACCTCTAACTGGACAGAGCAGCAAAAGTGGGTTTCTAAGCCACTAAGAGTAGAAAATGAGCTTTCTGCACTGCTATTGTAATCGCTGAGACTAAAGAGCAGTGTGGTGAAGACAGTGTCAAATCACCAGGCTGCCAAGATCAATTAAGTTGATACAATCGTAGCAGGAGTGATCTTTTTGGAGTTTCATAAAACACACTCTGAATTGTGGGATTTAGAGTGCTTCCAGGCTGCACAAATTTTGCACGTGTTTGGCTATTTCTAGGTATTATTTAATTTCAACTGAATGGGACTGCTCAGAAATTTGCTTCACTTCAATGTGATCATTTCTACGAAACCGTAAATTTAAATGTAATCTAGGAACCCATCCTTCATAAGAGACATTAATTTAATACTTTTCCTATGAGAAAGTAGGAAAAATGCATAATTGGAATTGCTATCATTTGTTTTATCTCAGAAGTTCTTTTCTTCTGAAGGAAATATTTTTCAACTTTGAAGTCCTTAGGAATTGGAGGAATTGGTTTTTGGCATAATTTATCCACTCTGTCCCAAGTGGCCTTGAAAGGCTCATAATTTCTCTCAGATGATGATCTTTTTTGGCTTTTAAAGGCAAAGAAAATGTCTACAGTTTCACTTTGAAGCTCTTTAGAAAAAATTCCTGCGACACTTATCATGTGGTTAAAAAAAAAAGTAAAACAAAAGATAAAATCAAAGTTGGAATCAATGATAGCAATTGTATACTTCGATCACCTGCAAGAGCTGAAGAGTCATTTGTTACAACTTCCTGTGGTCTAATGGTATATGAAAGTTCTTCAGCCACAGGTGAAGATGGACCATGAGGCCCAGTCCAAAGTGTTTTCAAGAAATCGGCCAGGCATGGTGGCTCACGCCTGTAATCCCAGCACTTTGGGAGGCCGAGGTGGGTGGATCACGAGGTCAGGAGATCGAGACCAACCTGGCTAAGACGGTGAAACTCCGTCTCTACTAAAAATACAAAATGTTAGCCGGTCGTGGTGGTGCGCGCCTGTAGTTTCAGCTACTTGGGAGGCTGAGGCAGGAGAATGGCATGAACCCGGGAGGCGGAGCTTGCAGTGAGCCAAGATCACGCCACTGCACTCCAGCCTGGGCGACAGAGTGAGACTCCGTCTCAAAAAAAAAAGAAAAGAAGAAAGAAATCACCCTGCTCCCTGCACACTTCATCTTCACCCACGTTCAAAGGTTTGGAAAACTCTTTTGGTGGGTACATGGTATTGTGCCAAGGAGAGAACTGAGAGCATTTAAGGTTTATTCTTTTCCTCACAAAATGCTATAATTACCAGAACCAAAAGATGTGCAGAATTCCTCAGAACTCCTTCAATGTCACTCAATTTTCTATGCATGCTAGATGCATCTTCACAGACCTAGTAAAAAAAAAAAAAAAACAAAACAAAAAACTGATTTTATTCAAATCCATTCCATTTTGCTTTTTATTTTTATTTTTTTCTGATATACTTTTGCAAGTATAAGTATACTTTTGCAAGGTAATTGATCCCAGTCATCTCTTCAATATCATGAAACCCAAGAACTTCTCTTTAATTAAACCTCCAGGGTGTAGGCAGGCTGACCACCCTGCTGCCCTCCTTTCCAATCTCCAATGGGCTCCCGCAGCAGAGCTCCTGGGTCAGCCAGCAGCCAGGCCTGGTGGGTTGGACGGGGCCTTTGTCCTGATAGGGCTGGCTTAGGACTTAGTCTCCCTCTGGGGCAGACAGTAGGGACCCGCAGCAGAGAGAGCCCTGGGTAAGAACGAGACCTCCAAGGCTCCAAGAGCGAACTTGGCACAGGGATACACAAGAGAGGCAGAGCCAGCAGCTTTGGGTGGTCCTGGGAGGCCCTGCAGAATCCCTCCCTGCCCCGAGGCTGGGAGACGGGGATGCAGAACAGCAGAATGAGCAGAGAGCTCTCTCCTGGGACACAGAGACGTGCAGCCAATTTGTCAGCTGGATCTGAGCCTTGGAGATGATTAGGGCTGCAAGAAGGCAGAAAGACAGTCGGCACCTGAGGGAATCCAGCAGCCAGGAAGGAAGAGCCTGCAATTCACTCAGCATGGCAAGAGGAGGCCAACCACAACCTGCACAACAGGAAAAGCAAACAAAACCATAAGCTCACATTTTAAAAAACCAAAAGCACTGGGAGGCTGAGGCGGGCGGATCACAAGGAGTTCGAGACCAACTTGGCCGAAGTAGTGAAACCCCATTAATACTAAAAATACAAAAATTAGCCAGGCATGGTGGCAGGTGCCTGTAGTCCCAGCTACTCAGGAGGCTGAGGCAGGAGAATTGCTTGAAACTGGAAGGCGGAGGTTGCAGTGAGCCGAGATCACGCCACTGCACTCCGACCTGGGTGAAAGAACAAAACTCCATCTCAAAAATAAAATAAAATAGGCAAAGGCGAAATCAAATACTTTCCTGAACGAGGAAACGTCGTTTTCAATTTAAAATGACTTGGAGGGGAGGATGGAGACCTGGGAAACCACATGGAAGAGATAACACAAAACCCAAAGTAAAAGTCTAAAAACGCCTCAGAGGAGAGAGATCCAGGAGTGGTAATAGGTGAATAATGAAAATAAGAATAAAAATCTCAGAAAGAAAAAAGAAGAAATAGAGGAGAAGCAATCATTTTTAAATGAGAAAGAAAATTTTCCGTGGTTTGAAGAACGCCTTGGGTTTGCAGATTAAAAGGCTCATTGAGTTCCAGGCAGGAATGATGGAAAAAAGACACACATCAAGGCATAGCCTGGTAAGTTTCCCGAATTCCACGATTAAAGAGAAAACTCAGACAAGCTTCCCTAATGAGAAAATAAGTTGCATAGAAAGAAAAGAATCAGACTGAAATCATACATCTTATTTGCAAGCTAGAAACCAATATGAATCACCTTCATAGACCACTGAGAGAAAAGCATCCTAAACCAACCAGGTTGCCATTCACCTTCCCAGGATGGAAAAAATGCAAAGGTCCACGTAATTTTCCCATAGAAAGGAATCTAATCAGGAAACAGATGAATCAGATTGAAGACAAGGAGATGAAGAAAAGAGGAACACGTGGTGAGCCATGAGTCGACCAAATCATGTACAATTACCTTCAAATAAATAATGATAGGACAGAATTTGTAATGTAAGGGCTAAGTATATTCTTTTAAATAGAAGAGAGATGCAATAACATGTATTGCTGACTTAAAGGGAAAGCACTGAATGATGGCAAAATGTAGGTATTGAGGAGGGGAAAGGGAGCCTGAAAAGGCATTTTACATATCTCCTATTGTCTGGGGGAGGAGAAACAGGGACAAGAGCTCTCCAGTGAGAGGAATTAATTGATACCTAGTTGCCATGAGTTTCTTTTTAATGAAAATCAGAAAAGGTAAGGTCAGTACTTGCGGACAGCAGCATCTAGCAGAGCTTCCAAAATAAGAAGGGAAAAAGAGGAATGACAGGTGTCTATTGCCAATTGTTCCATCTTTTTTAAAAAAGTTAAGACTTTATTATGGAACCATTATATATATATAAAATATATATTTAATATATTATACATATAATATATTATATATATGTGTGTGTGTATAGAGAGAGGTTTCACCATGTTGGCCAGGCTGGTCTTGAACTCCTGACCTCAAGTGATCGGCCTGCCTCAGTCTCCAAAGTGCTGGGATTACAGGCTGGCCAATTATGGAAACTTCTGAACACACACCACACAAAAGGGGAGCCATAACATATTGAATCTCTGTGGATCCAACACTAGGGTCCAATGACTCCTTTTTTTTTTTTAAGCTGGGAATACATTGATAGATATAAAACCCTGTAATGTTTCAGTGTTTATTTTTCCCAGCAATTCCATTTAGAATTTGTACACTTTTGCAAAGAGCACCACTCATCTTCATTGATCTAAAGGTCTCTTTTCCTACAATTTTTTTTTTTTTTGAGATGGAGTCTTGCTCTGTCTCTCAGGTTGGAGTGCAGTGGTGCAATCTCGGCTCACTGCAACCTCCATCTCCCGGGTTAAGCAATTCTCCTGCCTCAGCCTCCTGAGTAGCTAGGACTACAGGTGTGCACCACCATGCCCAACTAATTTTTGTATTTTTAGTAGAGACAGGGTTTCACCATGTTGGCAAGGCAGGTCTCAAACTCCTGACCTCAGGTGATCCACCTGTCTCGGCCTCCCAAAGTGCTAGGATTACAGGCGTGAGCCACTGCACCCGGCCTAACGGGTGATATCAACCAGCATTTATCTTCACACGATAAGAGACACCTGTCTTGGCACAGTATCATTCACTCTCTGCCTCTATTTTAGTGCCAGGTGCTAATGATTCTGGAAAACTCTGGGCCATCACTTAACTCCTTGGGTGAGTTCTTGCTGGAAAATGACAACAGACTGTGTCTTCACTCGTCACAGTTACCTTGGTCAAGATGTCAGGAAGTAAAGAGTAGGAAATATCTGTAAGCACAGCGATAAACAAGCCAGGCAGGTGGGCAGGTGGACACCAGCAAGGCAGAGAATGTCAGCGTCAGGTTGTCCCCAGACATTCGGTTTGTTCATTTGTTCTTCTTTCTCAGTGAAAATGTGATTTTTTTTTTTTTTTACATTGCCACAAAGCAAATAGTCACATTTTACAATTCTGAAGGCCCTGCCAGGTTTCTGTTGATTTTTTTTGTTTGTTTGTTTTTTCGAGACAGTCTCTCACTCTGTCACCTAGGCTGGAGTGCCGTGGTGCCACCGCAACCTCTGCCTCCCAGGTTCAAGCAATTCTCATGCCTCCGCCTCCTGAGTAGCTGGGATTACAGACACGTGCTACCATGCCTGGCTAATTTTTTGTATTTTATTGGTAGAGACGGGGTTTCGCCATGTTGGCCAGGCTGGTCTTGAACTCCTGGCCTCAAGTGATCCACCTGCCTCAGCCTCCCAAAGTGCTGGATTACAGGCGTGAGCCACCATGCCCAGCCACATTTCTGTTGATTCTAAATTTGGTTTTCCCTAGGAAACTGGTTGAGGAGCAGCAATCCTTACTCCCCCCAGGTTTCCTCTCCCTCCCTAGATCCACCCTTACAGCCCTGGACCCGCCCCTGTAGGCAACATTCTGGCCCCGCCCTCAAACTGCGGGGGGCTGTGGCCAGGGGGCAGTCACCAGAGCCTTGCAGCCACCACAGAGACTATGGTCTAGCCTGTCCTCAAACCTTCACTTCTCCTCAGCCTTATCTAAATATCCCTCCATCCTCTCTCCAGATCTCAGGAGAAAACCTCACTGCCCATTCAGACCAATAAGCAGAGGCCATTTCTGCTTCCTGCCACCCCGTCAGTCCCCGCCACACCCGCAGGTGGTCTGCCTCCCAGCCTGCCTGCCGCCTCCTCCTTCTCCTGCCCCTCTTCCCTCCAGCCTGGGTCCTGCCCGCTAGGGGCCTTGCTTTCCTCTCTCTGGCTCCCTCCCCTTTGCCTAGAAACATCTCAGCTCTTCCAGCTCAGCACCGTACCCTTCCCTGGGCTCACTCATTTTCCTTCAGCTGCCTTAGACTTCTTCCTGCCCCCTCCCCACAGCCACTGCCTGCACTCCATGACTCCCTCACCTCCCACCCTGCTTCCACCCAACTTGGTCCAGGCAGAGGGCACCACCACCTTCCCTCTGGGTTGTGAACTCCAGCTCTTCACCTGCAGCTTCTCTCAGTCTCTTGGAAACTCCTCCACCTCTTGATCTCTTATCTTGGCTGGTGTCTCTCTCTCTCTCTCTCTCTCTGTCTCTGTCTCTGTCTCCCCCCATCTTTCTCCCTCTCTCTCTCCCCTCCTCTCCCACCCCTCTTCCAGCTCCTCTGACCACTTCTTTTTTTTTTTTTTTTTTTTTTTGAGACGGAGTCTCACTCTGTCGCCCAGGCTGGAGTGCAGAGGCCGGATCTCAGCTCACTGCAAGCTCCGCCTCCCGGGTTCACACCATTCTCCTGCCTCAGCCTCCCGAGCAGCTGGGACTACAGGCGCCGCCACCTCGCCTGGCTAGATTTTTGTATTTTTTTAGTAGAGACGGGGTTTCACCGTGTTCGCCAGGATGGTCTCGATCTCCTGACCTCGTGATCCGCCAGTCTCGGCCTCCCAAAGTGCTGGGATTACAGGCTTGAGCCACCACGCCCGGCCCCGACCACTTCTTTCTGATCTCCTTCACTGACTCATTTTCCTTAGTTTTCACCCTAAATGTCCCCAGTTTTCTTCTTACACCACACAAACTCCTTTGTTTGTTTTTTGAGACAGAGTCTTACTCTGTTGCCCAGGCTGGGGTGCAGTGGAACAATCTTGGCTCACCACAACCTCCGCCTCCCAGGTTCGAGCGATTCTCCTGCCTCAGCCTCCTGAGTAGCTGGGATTACAGGCACGCGCCACCACACCTGGCTAATTTTTGTATTTTTAGTAGAGAGAGGCTTTCACCATGTTAGCCAGGTTGGTGTCAAACTCCTGACCTCAAATGATTCACCTGCCTCAGCCTCCCAAAGTGCTGGGATTACAGGTGTGAGCCACTGTGCCCAGCCTACAAACTCCTTTGGAGATCTCTTCATTCCCATAGCCTTTATTTTTTCTGATGAGTTAAATTATCTTCAATTTCAAAGAAATGAGACGGGGCAGGTTTTGAACATTAGCTGGTTTTGTTGTAAGACTTTTTTGGGGGGTTGTCTCTATTTTCCCTTGTATTAGGAGTCATTTGGCCCATTCTTCTGGGGAGGGTGACCCTTGCCTGGTTGGAACCTAGACTCCTCCCCTCTCTTCCCAGGAATGTTGCCCTGACTGGCACACTTGAGTGTCTAAGGTCAGGCTCTCAAGGTGGGGGAAACCAGTTTCTCTCCTGGTGACAATTTGGGCTCCAGGTATAATAGGCAATCAAAACTTTTCCTGATTATGGGAAAAGGAGAAGAATGAGGTTTGTGGGAGGAGAAAGGGAGGGCTCCTGGGAAGGAGATGGTGAGAAGAGAGGCTAGGCATGGGGGGAAGGACGAAAAACACATGAGGGACCCAAAGCTGGAAAGATCATCCATGGTGCAGCAGCCACCTGGGAAGTGCCAGGCCTGTGGAACAGGGAAGGATGGCCTCGGGGCAGCAGAGGGGCTG